GAATGCAGTGATTAATTATCATTGTCCGCTAGCGGTGCAAGGGTGGAACTGTGTGCTGTGTATTTACTCATTCTGATCCGGTTCAACAGTTTCATTTCCAGAAAGATGAGGTGACTTGCTTGAAAGTCATCACAAAACTCCTTAGCAGAACCACAACTTGAACTGAAATTGCTGGCTTCTGGGCCATTGCTTTTAGATGGCACTTTCCATGGTGTGTCATGATGTTAAATGCCCATATTGGCAGTAGACACTTCTCGTATGAACTGGGCCTCCCTACAAACCCTATTATCTCAGTGGCTCTGGCTTGTGTACGGGGACATTCTCAGAAAAGCCAGCTGTCTCATAGTCTCTCTCCTTTTCTTCTGATTTTTCTACCATTTGACTGATGATGTAATTTTATTTTTGGTGAAAACTAAGTTTGACTCGCTTAGCAAATTTTAATTATACAATACAGTGTTATCAGTTATAGTCACCATGTTCTCCATTAGGTCCTCAGACCTTATTGATCTTATAAATGGAAGTTTGTACCCTTTTACCAATTTCTGCCTATTTCACCTAACCGCCAGCCTCTGGCAACCACTTTTCTCTCTGTTTCTGTAGGTTTGACTTATTTTTAGATTCCATATATAAGTGTTACCATGCAATATTTGCCTTCCTCTATTTGGTTTACTTCACTGAGCATAATGCTCTTATAGTCTATCCGTATTGTTGCAAACGGTAGGATTTCCTTACTTCTCTAGCTGAATAATATTTCATTGTATATATATCACATTTTCTTTATCTGTTATCCACTGATGGACACTTAGGTTGTTTCTGTGTCTTGGTTATTGTAAATAATACTTCAGTGAACATGGGGGTGCAGATATGTCTTCAAGATGTTGATTTAGTTTCCTTTGGATATAAACCCAGAAGTGGAATTGCTGGACCATATGGTAGTTCTATTTTAATGTTTTAAGGAAGCTCCACACTGCTTTCCATAATAGCTCCACAGATTTACATTCCCACCAACAAGGCACAAGGGTTCCCTTTTCTCCACGTCCTCACCAACCCTTGTTATATCTTGTGTTTTTGATGATAACCATTCTAACAGGTGAGAGTGATGTCTCTTTGTGGTTTTGATTTGCATTCCCTGATGATCAGTGATGTTGAGCACCTTTTCATGTACCTGTTCACCATTTGTGTATCTTCTTTGAAAAATATGCCTACTCAGTTCTGCCCATTTTTAAATCAGACTGTTTTATTTTTTGCTATTGAGTTGTATGAATTGTTTATATATAATCAGCCCTTCGTATCTGCACTATATAAAGTTTACATGATGTGAGCTTTGTGTACTATGTTTACAGCTTGGGGTTGGTTAAATCTGAGACACAGAACCCACCGATAGGGAGAGGACCTGTGGGACCTGCATAGCTGTGGATTTTGGTATCTATAGTGGGCCTGGAATCAATCTCCTGCAGATACCAAGAAATGACTAATTTTCAAAAATATTATCAGATATATGATTTGTAAATATTTTCTCCCATTCCATAGGTTGCCTTTTCATTTTGTTCATGGTTTCCTTTGCTCTGGAAAAGCTTTTTAGTTAGATGTAGTCCTTCTAGTTTATTTTTGCTTTTGGAGTCAAATCCAAAAATCACTGCCAAGACTGATGTCAAGGAGATTGTCCCCTATGTTTTCTTCTAGGAGTTTTATGGTTTCATGTCTCAAATTTAACTTTTTAATTCATTTTGAGTTGATTCTTGTGTATGGTGTTAAAGAAGCCTCCAGGTTCATTCTTTTGCATCTCACTGTCCAGTTTTCCCAATACCATTTATTAAAGAGACCATCCTTTTCCTATTTCTTGGCTTCCTGTCATAAATTAATTGACCATAAATGCATGAGTTTCTTTCCAGGCTCTCTATTCTGTTCCATTTATCTGTGTATCAGTGTATCCAACCTTTGGATATGATTTATATCAATACCATACTGTTTTGACTACTATAACTTTATAATTTGAAATTAGGAAGTGTGATGCCTCCAGCTTTGTTCTTCTTTCTCAAGATTACTTTGGCTACTCAGGCTCTTCTGTGGTACTATACACATTTTAAAATTGTTTTTTTTCAAGATTTATTAAGAGGAATTAGCTCAGATAATTATGGAAGCTGAGAAGTCCCACAATCAACTGTCCACAAGCTGAAGACACCAGAGACCAGATGGTATAGCTCCAGTCCAAGTCCCCAGGCCTGAGAGCCAGAAGAGCCAATAGTGTAAATTCCAGTCTAAGTCCATACGCTGGAGAAGGCTAATTATCAGTTGGAAAATAGTCAGGCAGAGAGAGGGAGTTCCCCCTTACCCTCCCTGCTACAGAGATTGGGTGAGATCCAGCCACACCAGGCAGGAGAATCTGCTTTATTCAGTCTATGAATTCAAGTGTTCATCTCATCCAGAGATGCCTTCACAGATACATCGAGAATAATGCTTAACCAGGTGCCTGGGAACTCCACGGCCCAATCATGTTGACACATAAAATTAACCATCACAGTCCATATGATGGAATATATGATGAAATAATTTCAACCATTGAAAATGATGTAGAACAATGTTTATTGATAGCAATTTAATAATATATCCCTGAGTTAACAGAGTGTATTCCTGAAGAGTCTATATTGTTTGATACATTTTTAAACTACATATATATGTAGAAAAAAGTCATGAAAAAATATGTAACCAGTTAAAATCTTCACGATAAAATTGCCTACAAAGTGTAGCATATCTGCACTTTCTGATTTCCTACTTGGTGGAGACTTCCAAGATGGTCCCCAGTGACCCCCATCTCCTCGTGCTCATGTCCTTGTACCATCCCTTCCTTTTGCGTGTGGGCTGGACTTAGTGACTTGCTTCTAGAGAGTAGACTGCAGTAAAGTTGACGGGCTGTGCTTCCAAATTCGGATATAAGAAGACAGGCTTCTGTCTCGGGCGCTCTCTTGCTCTCTTGCTCCCTCACTTGCTTTGAGGGGAGCCAACTGCTGTGTTGAGTTGCCCTATGAAGAGGACCCCATGGCAAGGAACTGTGGAGGCCCCTGGCCAGCAGCCAGCAACTGAATCTTGCCAGGAGTCACATGAGTGAGCTTGGAATTGGGTTCCCCCCCACCGAGGTGGGCCTTCAGCTGAGGCCATGGCCCCAGCTGAAGTCTTGACTGCAGTCATGTGAGACACCTTAAGCCCGAGGCATCTGGCTAAGCTGTGCCAGGGTTCCTGACCTACAAAAACTGTTAAGCTTTGTGTTGAATTGTTATACAGCAACAAAAAGTGAGACACTTATGTAACGACATTTTAAAAATTACTTTTTAAAAAATTTCAGGGACAGGTTTGCCAACAAGTTTAGCTCTAACTCCTGAGCCTTGGTTCCCCTTTTCCCTGCCCAGCATTTTCTTTCTAACTTTGCCAAACTAGTCAGACTCAAATATCTGGGTTCTGGTCCCTGCTTGACTACAGAATCCCCTCCCTCCCTAGGCCTCGGTCTCCTCCTCTTTGTGAAGACGGGGCGGGGCACAATCCCCAGGGGCCTGCTCCTGCCTGCTTGGCTCTGCTCCCTCCCTCCGTGGAAGGATCTCTCGTTGGGGCCTCTCAGGGGTAAGGCCTTCACCTCATCTCCTTGCATTTATTCTTCCGTTTCTCTCTCCCCCTCACTTCAGCTGTAAAGGCTGAATATTTATGAAGTCCAGATTCTGGAGAAAATAAATGAAGCGAAAACGCAGCAGCCCCGAGGAGAGCCATGACAAGGAATTCAGACGCACCAGTTAGACTTAGTGTCAGATTGAGGGAGCCCCTCAGTCATTTCTCCATCGTCTTCAGCTTCTACAAAAACAGGAATAGAAGTTAAAAAAAAAAAAAACCCAAACTGCAACCAAACTACCACACTCCACATAAAGTCTCTCCTGGAAGTTCCAAATCTGAAGAAATACTTACTTGTAGCCGGGCCTCTGGGTAAAAGTTAGTTCTGCCTGAGAAACAGGGGCCAAGACGAGCTTCTCAAAGCCCTCTACACTGCAAGTTGTCTGCACTCTGGGGCCTCTGCCAACCAGGCATGATGTGAAATTGGAATGACTCTGAGCCCAGACCCATTAAACGCGCTGGGAAGGTGTTTCTGTAGTGGTTAATGGAATTACACACATGGAGGGACAGTGATCAGATGAATACCTCGGGCTCCCATCCTGTAATCCTAGGAAAGTGATCTGATTGGGAGTCCAGTTAAACACGACAGAAAGCGCAGAGCTCTCTAAGTCCTCTGGAGATCCGGAACCAGTCTATTTTCCCCTCTAGTGTGGCTTATTGCGTAAGCCCAGGACAATCCCACCACAGGCATAAAACGGTATATTTTGAGAGTGATTAAGCACTAAATGTTTGCCAGGACAGAGATGTAAGTGGCTCAGGCAAGCATGGGATTATGAGCCTCACAGGAAACTAGTGCCACGTGGGTTCCACTTTTTGCTGTGGTTCCTCTGATGGTTTGATGCTGGGCTTCAGTGATGCCGCAGAAGTTGGTGGTCAGTTTCTGACTCTTCCTATGTTGCAAGTCTTTTGTACTCTTGTAAGAGCAGTAATAGAACAGCAATAATAATAACAACTGGATGAGATATTTATGTATTATATATATGTATACATATATATATATATACACGTGTATATATATACACACACAATCTTATTTAAAATTTAAGCCTGTGGAGTAGGCATTATTAAATCCATGTAAGAGATTGAAGCATAAAAATATTAAGTCATCTCAGGGACAGCTATTAAGTGGCAGGCCTGAGATTCAAGCACAGACTGTGTGGCCGTGAACCTGGATTCCCTGGAGTGGATGCTGAACTACACTACTTGTGGGCACTGTCCCCACCTACAGCCTCCTGACCGATCTGTGGTTGCAGGATGCCTCATACCGGCATTGTCTTTCTTAGAAATCTCCTTGAACTACGAGAGAGACAGATGGTCAGAGTCAGTGGTTCCCAATCTGGCTGAACACAGAATCTGCAGGAATGCTAAGCACCCTCTCCCCCGCCACCCCACCACCACCACCTTCAGACTCAGGGGTCTGGGATGGGGCCACGAATCTGAATTTTGTTAACAAGGGCTCTGGGTGGTTCTGACACAGTCAAATCACAGACTCACATTTTGGAACCACCAGACCGAGTGATCTGTGCCCCAAATCCTGGGATTATGGTCTCTGTCGAGATTTACAGTTCTTGAGCACCCTCTCCAGTGCTGACTGACCCCTTCATAGTCATCTCTGTGTATCCAGGTTCCCTTTTGTCTACACCAACCAAGCCCAGCTCTTCTGCTCTTTAGGCTGGCCGGCCACGTGGAAACTGAAGACCTACCCCAAGTCGCATGATCTGGACCATCTCCAGGTAAAACCACAATGTAGGTGACATTTGTCTTGGGGCCGTTCTGTCCATTTTCTCTGGATCCCTCCATGCCCTCAAAACACTCTTCAGCTGCTCAAGAGTTTCCTCTGGGCCTCTTGCCCAGATTTGCTGACTATAATTAACAATGCTGTGCGCTCCAGATTTCGTACACTCTCTCCGTCCTTATTTCAGAACATATCTGTCTTGTCTCCCATCTCCTACGCGTCCAGCTGGATATACTTATCCTCATTGGCGGATAATGCCATCAATATGACAATCCTCCTAGAGCTGTTTTCATCTTGATACGGGGCTTCCTGAGATAACCTTGGCTGAATGGATGGCACTTCAGGGATGCAAGTGAGTCAAGGAAAAGTTAAGGAAAGGAGGGGTGGCTGGTAGCGGTAGCATGGTTCATCATGTGGCAGAAGGGACACACCTAAACAACTGATATTCTGGGTCGCCATTTCTGGGTCATACCCCTCACTTTGCAGAGCCCAAATTTCCTCATAATAATTTATCTCACTGGTATTGAAGGCAGCTAAGATAATTGATGCAGAAGCACTTTGTAACTACAAGGTGCTGTTAGCCTGTCGCCAGCATCCTCCAAAGCCCAGAGTGCTTAGCGGCCAAGAATGCAAGGTGGCCATTTGGCAAGAAAGGAAGACGAAATTGTTCTCTCCTGTTACCACCTCCGTCTCTAAAAAGTACTGACAGCAGCAGATTAAACACTGAAGCCCTTGTGAAAATCTTTCCACCGTCAGGGTCAACCCTAATTTTTCATCTTGCCTCAAACATTAACTTCTTTTCTTAGAGCTGTACAGGAACAAACTCTTCTTGGTTATAGGTAGACCGTTACTTGAATCTGTTCTTGTGAATGCTAGACATTTAAATGTCTTCTTTCTGCATCTGTTCCCCCAAATTTTCAGAAGACATTTCCTGTGTCTGCTATTCACACTGTCTTTCTGCTTATTCAGTTTGCGGTGGAACCCTGACTGTCACGGGGGGTCTCGGAACAGCCTGGATGAGAGCTGACAGCTTCTCCGCTCGACGCTGACTCGGAATTCCCAGAGCGCTCTCGCCACAGCTCCTGACCTGAACTGTACAGACCCAGGTGACTTGGAGTCGGATGCTTTCTTTGTTTCTCTGCATTGTTCTTCTGCTTTTGTTCTGATTTATACGTGTCCATTACTCCTGGTCCAGGTCACCGCATCCCTGATGACCTCCTCAGGAGAAGCAGGATTACAGGGACAAGCCATTTTGTTCCCTGCCTAGAGTAACAGGAAATGATAGGAGGAACGAATGCTCCTTTCTACAAAAGCTTTGGGGGCATCTCTGCTTTCTTTTTCCCCTGGGTCAACTCAAAAGAAAATAAAATTCTCAATCTCGAAAGCTCATTCCTATCCCCAGTGTTCTCCACAGCAAGCCTGGGACAAAGGTATGCTGGAAAAACTAGGAGCCTGAGAAGTTAAAGGATTTTTTTGTCAAGGCCACATGCTTAGTAAGGAGTCTGAGCAGGATCCAGGAGCAGTGAAACGAAGGCAAGAATCCTTTTAGCATTGAAACCATGTGAAACATGGCAAGAGAGAGACCCTGCTTCTCTGGAGAAAACTCTATGTTGAAGATTATTCCCTATCAATACACAGAGAGTTCTCCAGCTTCATATTCTACTGAGTGGGTCATAATTTATTTTCACCAATTAGGAGGAATTGGTATTAATATCAAAACCGCCATAGTGTCGTGCTCAGCTATAATTTGCTGTATGTCTATACACGTATGAGTGAATAGTTGGCAGTTAAATATATGTGTATCTGTATGTGTATATATATGCATAAATATTTTATGTAGGGATATTTACTCATATAATATCTGCTTACATAAGTAGTAAATAATCTTTTATTTGTTTATCTGTGGTGTTGTTTTTAGCTTTTTAAAATGAATCCCCTTGTTCTCCTATAGCCTCAGATTAAGAATTTGTCCAAGTTTTGTATATCCCTTCAACCAATTGCTTCAATATCAAACTTTAGTGCATCTTTGAAGTTATATATAGCATTTTGGCATTTGATTTTTGGTCTTCAATATTTATTCAGTTCCCCTTCCTCACCATCCCTCTAGGACAAGAGCATCACTACTTTTTTAGTGGGAGGTAGCAGTCATATTGCATTTTCTGTATTTGAGCACAATTATTTCAAACATGGTGTTCTAGTTTTTTGGGAGGCAGGTGAGGAATTGGATTCCCACGTGGACATGTCGAGTTGAAGATGCTCATTAGACAGCCAAGAGGAGATGTCAAGCATATATCCTCCACCCCAAGTCCAAACGGAGACTCCTTAGTTCCAACTTCAGATGACATGGTCCTCAGACTTCTTTTTTTCAGTGTTTTTGGGGTCCCTCTTTAATGTGGCACCAGAATTAAATATGGTGCTCCAGATAATGGTTGACCAACAAGAAAGGACACTGGTTCATTATATAATTCTTAGAGATGTAGCAGATGTTACTGGTACACAGCTCATATTCCCTTGAGCCTTGCCATTTTGGTGCATGCCAGTCTGACTGCTCACTGCCTGCACCTGCCAGTCTTTGCCTGAGGGCATCCTCTGACTGCCAGAGTCCACTTGGCCTGTGCACATGCGGAAGTGCCAAGGAATGAACACTCTTCTGGGGAGCCTTCGATGAACTACTGGATGGGAGTCACTGGAGTATAAATACCACAGCTCTCTCACTCCTCCACCGGGGTGACCCTGAGATTCCTTCTCAGAGTGTCCAGCAGCATCAAGCTCCTGTCACCTGCATAGTTACTGGCTTGATACTCACTTTATCGGCTCTTTTCCTTGTCCTACAGGAGGAGGTGTTGTGGGGTCACTTCTCCAATTCATTACTTGTGCTGGAATCCTTATCTTGGGTTCTGCTTCTGGAGGTACCCGAATGAAGACAGAGCCTAATACTGCATCTTCTTTCTTAGCAGTCACATTATGCTGTTGCTTTATCCTGATTTTACGGTCAGATAAATCTCCAACCTTTTATTCATGTCAACTGCCGCCAAGCCATACTTACCTAATGCTGTGCCTTTCCTATTGATTTTTTTAACCTGAACTCAGACTTTATGTTCATTCCTGTTATGCTCTTGGTTTATTTCCATATTCCAACCTAACAGAATAACTTTGAATATTGATTTGTTCTTTTGCTGTGTTAACTGCCCTTCCCAGACGTGTCATATCTGTAAATCTGATAAGCATGTCTTTTGTGACTTCACTGACTTTTTTTTAAGAAAAATGTTGAACAAGGTAGGCTTGGGAACAGAATTCTAAACGGAATTTTTCCTTTGATTCAATAATGAAGATTTTTCAGTAAGAATCCTTATTGATAGTGATTCCAACTAACTGCACAAATTTAACCCAGAATTTACAAATTTACCTATAAGAATGTCAAGCAAGATCAGCTTAGTTGCTGCTCTAGAATCAAGATGATCCATGATGACGTTGTACCTGTGATACACAAGTCAAGAACCCTGTCAAAAAGGAATTGTGGTTAGTTCCACTTGTTATTTACAAATCCAGATTAACTATTAAGAACCACTGGATTCATTTCTAAAAGCCCCCGATCTTCTTTTTAATAATCTGTTCTGGAATTTTACCAGGGTTCAAGTTTAAGGTTTCTAGACCCTACCCTTTCTTTTTCATTTGAAAATGAGGACTTTTACCAATACCTATTTTCCTATCCTCTTTCCTTAATTTCTTAGCAACAGAAAATAGTACTAAGGTCACATTTGTAAGTTCTTTTAGGAGCCTGACATGCAATTTATCTGGGTGACATCAACCCAGTTCAAGTGGCCACATGGTCCCCGATGTCCTTCACTTCCTCCCTACAGCTGAGCTTTCCCATCACTGGGAAGGCTGGTTCTTACCTGAGAACCCAGCTGGGCCCCTGTAGCCCCGTAATCCCTCATCAGCCTTCTCAAACTTGGACCCCTCCCTTCCCCATTTGTCTTCTTACACTAAACACATGGTTTAGAGCTTTTGAGGTTGCATTTAGCCCTTTGGGAGCCTGAGATCCTTTTGACTCAGCTCCCTCTACCTCATGGTGGTAAGCCCACTCTCACCAGCACTCCCCAGTACCACCCAGTCTACTTTGAGCTCCTGGATCAGCACCAAGATTTTTGCTTTTTGTTTTATTCTATTTTATCTCTCGCTTCCTTTTCACTTTCACTGGGATGATTCACATTCAATAATCTAATTCATTTTTGCCCTCTCTGATTCCCCCCATGAGAAATACTCCCTTTTATAATCTTTTACCTTGGGATCAAAGCCATTTTTCCCCCTGGAGCACTTGAGGTGAGGTGGGCATCTCTTCCTGTCTTTGATCTTACTTACCCACCGCCAGCTTTCTTCTCCAGGGTTCTTCAGTTATGCTAGAAGGTTTCAGGCCACTTCGGTGGGCTGCAGCCCTGAGGTCAGGGATGGGCCTGGATTCATGTTTGTGTCACCACAGTGCATGGTTCACCCAGCCTGATGTACACAGGATGTTGTGGAATAAAACTGGATAACTGGCTGCCTTCCTTCTCGCATCCAGGAGGAGAGTTACTTATGTGAGCCTTGTCTAGCACCAGTGTGATGAGGGAAACGGCTGGGGCTGCTGCGGGGTGCAGGGGAGCAAGAATCTGATTTCTTAGCACAGATTTCCTCACTTCCTAGCAGCCCAGCCTCCTTCCTCAGGAAGCCAGTGGAATCAAGCTGACAAGGATGTCCGCCGTCAGATGGCTTTCTGCTGCACATCTCAGGAGGAGGAAGCCAACCTGTAGCCTTCAGAGTACCCACAGCCCGAGGAGCCGCTGCACCACACTGCTGAGCGGGGCTGTAACAGACACCTGCCTCAGACAGGTCAGCGCTGAGGAAGAAGGCGGGGCGCGGGGGAAGAGGGAGGGGAAGAGGGGACTGGGGGGTTGGAGAAGGAGGGGAAAGGAAGGGAAGGGGCAGGGAGGAAAGGAGGAGTCAGTCTACACTCCTGACTCTGGCCCCGCATCCCTTTGCCAAGCCATTATCAAAATTGATTTTAATAAATGAAAGATTTACCTGGGTCGAACATTGTTTTTAACTGGCGGCAATTAATTAATTAACCATCACTAGCCTGGACATCATAATGGGATGATATTTTGATGCTAACACATTACTGAAAAGGACAAGCCATGTTTTGTTTTTTTTTCCAAGTAATTGATTAATCAGCCTCAAATGAAGATTCAGACCACAGACTATGCTCACAGGCACTTTAATAGCTGCCTTTGCCAGGACCCCCAGACACCTGGTTGAGGGCTCTGTGCCCTGGGAAGCAGTGTGAGGTAAGTCAATGTTAACTCAGTATTCTAAAAAATTACAATAGTTAACTTTAAGAAATCTCTGAAACATCTTCTTCATAATTAATAAATGAAAAATGTTCCTGCAGCTAATCAATAAAGTTGTTAGAGAGAATTGATCGGATGGGGAACTCTTTTTGTGGGTACAATTTTTCACCTTTTCAGAACAAAAGACTCCCTAGAGCACTGTCAGCATGATAGACACTTAAGAGTCTGACCCAAAAGGAAAAAAATAAAATAAAAAGACGATTAATTAAAATCTCCAGGAGTGACATTTACTCCCATCCTGTGGGCAGAGAGCTGGGTCAGGTGTGCAGGTGGTTACTGGGAACCTTTGGGGAGGTTAAGGAAACAGAGATACCGGGGGACATGCCTTACCCTGAGGCTGTGCCCTGGATGTCCTGGGGTCCCAGTCTCTTTGGAGGATTAAAAACAGGACTGGTCCACGGAGGCCTGCGTCGTTCAGGTTGGTTAAGGAGCACAGTAGCCTTATTCTCACAGGTGGGTGCACAAGGTGTATGCAACTCAGCTGGAATGGAACAACAGCTTGCAAATTATTTTAATGTACAAGGCAGTCGGCATGTTCAGGAGCAATGCACCCTGAGTGTTCTACTGGATCTCAAACCTGACAGCGCCCTGGAATTATTTGCCAAGATTCTCCAGCCCGTGCACATCCGCTGAATCAGAATCTGTGAGACGGGGCATGGGAATTTCTGTTTTTCATTATGTGCCCTGGTGATTGGACCCTGGCTTGCAGCAGGCTGAGATTACCACTGGTTTTGATTTCTCTGTCTCCAGGTATAAATTCAGGCTGCGTGAGAGGTATACTGTCCCCTCCTCTTTATCTTTTGTTGGACAAGTCATAATACAAAATAGAGACTGAGTGCTTCCTCTGTGCCAGGCAGTGCGCTGAGCTTCTAAAGTGCATTGGTCGAGGGGAGAAGGTAGAGCACATGCTTAGCGTGCACAAGGTCCTGGGTTCAACCCTCAGGACCTCCATTTAAATGAATAAATAAACCTAATTCCCCCGCCGCCCCCCCAGTTTTTAAAAAAACCAGTAGAGTGCAGTAGTCATTTAGTCCTCACGGCAATCCCACAAGATGGGCAGCATGATTATTATCATTTTACAGATGAGTCATCTGAGCCCTAGAAAGGGGAAGTCATTGGCTAACGGTCACACATCTAACCATTAGGACTCCCTGCCCCAGGGAGGCGGTAGGCAGCTGGGAGGACCCGGGGCAGAGCTGCGGGGCTGGCAGTTCTGAACTTACAGAATTTGAATGAAAGAACTCAGATCCAGGAAACTTTACCTCAGGAGACTACATGGGTTGAAGTAATATTTTGTCCCTCTTTCTAGAGTGCTGACTACCAGTCTTCTTCAAGCTGAAAAATGACGAAGGTGGGACGAGAAGGTAGATCAGGACTGCTGTAATTTCCAAGGCATTTTTGTCCAGTGAGCTTGCTCTTTTGTTAGAGTGGCTATAATCTAATTATCTGATGATTCTACAATATTCTTGGACAACTGGGGCACGTGTTTAAAAGGTACTCAGACCCAAACCAGAGCTCCTGAAATTGTCCAGCAATGTGCACTTTTAACTAGCTCTCCATGTCATTCCGATACTTTGTTAAGCGTGACGACCACTGATGTAGCTCTTCCCCATCAGCCCATCTCCCGTTCCCAGTGAGATGCTGGTGGATGGTCTAATAAGGATTGTAGTGGACAGGTAGTGTTCGAGTCATTTATTGTGATATAACAAACCACCCAAACCACATTTATTTAGCCCACCAGTCTGCAGGAAAGGCCCATCTCTGATCCATGGGGCACCAACAGGGGTGGGGGTGGGCGGGGCTGAAGGACCTACTTCTAGGATGATTTACCCACATGGCTGGTGAGTTGGTACTGGCTGTGGGCTGGGAGCTCAGCTGGAACCAACAGCCAGGGACCTTGGGTCCTCTCCACACGGGCTTCTCCGCAGGCTGCTTTGCCTTCCCCACAGCATCGTGGCTGGACTCCAAGAATGCAAGTTCCAACAGACAGAAGGTAGAAGCTGCCTGTAACTTAAAGTCCTGTTCTGGGAAACTGCTACAGCACCACTTACTTCTGCCATTATTCTCCTAGTCAGTCAATCACAGAGCCCAGATTCACGGAGAGGGGAGATGGACTCTCTCTCAGTGGGAGGAATGTCAGAGAAGTTGTGGGACATGTGTTTAAACCACCACAATCAAGATACCTGGCATGAACCCACCTTGGCAATTAGTTTTGTCATGTCAGAGGATCCCTTTGCTTTTCCAGTCTTAAGCAAGACGAATAGTTTGGCTGACATTGCTATCAAAGGACTTCTGATTCCATGTCTGCACATCACCAACCGGGGGACGTGAGTTCAGGGAAGCTCCTCTGTAAGATTTGTCTTAGTTCTTTGGTGCTTAATATTGTATTGCGATTCCTTCACTCACGCCTGAAACCCATGTCCTTGCGGGCTTATTTAGCTTGGCTGCCGTTTTAGGTCAATTTCAGAAATCCCCCCCGAGCTCCTGAGAGGGCGGTGGAGGTTAACGCGACTCTGGGGGTATTGGCCTCATTTTACTCCCTCCCTGAGACCTGCCCAGCATGAGGACACACTCACGCAGCAGCCTGCTCAGAATCTGAAGGTCACTTTTCAGAAGGACGCGGAGAAAAGAGCAGCTGCTTCAGTGTTAATTTAGTGACTTCTCCAAGACCTGCTTAAGAGAGCGTCAGACATCCCCCAAGCTAGGGAAAGGGGAGGGAGAAGGGACGGAGGGATTTGGCCAAAATGTGTTATTTTCTCACTCCAGCAGATGAGAAAGACGCTGCTACCTCTGCCTCACAACGGCAAAGGGGTCAGGAGATCGGTCAGGTCACTCCATCATGCCAATCCCTGGAACACACAATGAGGGGCTCTTACCAAGACCTCATGTAGAAGCGGTGGAAACCACCGAAAACAAGTGGGTCAGCTTGAAGATGTGGTCCCCACCTCCACATGAATGGCTCTGCATGCAACTATGATAAAGACCCAAACATTGTCATTTCCATTTTTCCCAGGGGGTGTCTGCAGGATGCCCCCTGAGAGAGGAGTGGTTGGGGAGAGAGGAAGGGCAAGTCATAGCACCCTTCCCAAACGTGACATCAGGGTGTCTTCTGACATTACCACATGTCCCCGGGGTGGGGGTGGGGGAACTCCTCATCTGAGAACCATTGGCCTATATTAAACCTTATGTGCTATCAGGATGGGTAGTGCCATTCTGGTGACCTGGCAATCCTAGGTACACGTGCCAGGGACACCACCTAGGGCAACAGGTGCAAGAACGCTCAACACAGTGCTGTTTGTGGCAACTGGCAATGGGGACACACGCCAGGTGCCCATGTCTGTGGGGAATTAATAAGGCAAGTGTGGTTTAAAGAAGCCTTTTCTCCCACATGCTCCTTTATCTTCAGACCTGACAGTTCCCTCCAGCATTAACCTTGTCACTAGGTCAAGACTTCAGAATGCCTCAAAGCTTCAGTTTGGTGTTTTGAAATATAAGTTCTATGGCCAGCTTTGCTCAGCCTTTCCCTCAAGGCTCACACTCTTCTGTTGTTCACAAGGCCCCTTTCAGGGAAGAGACTGTGTTCAATCTGTCTTTGTTTGCCTCCAGAACCTGCTCGATGCTTTGCGCTCAAATGCCATCCAGTACGTGCTGCATTTATTAAATATGTAATACCCATTACCTGGAATTTATTTGTTAACGCTACGTAAGATGTATTGAGATTGCCTGAGATAAAAATAAATGTTTGATTCTTAAGAAAATAATCTATTTTTAGAAAGTAAATATAATCTAACTCAGTTGTCCTGCATAAATAGGAAATCTGATTATTCTTTGATCTTACTTTTCCTTTTTAAAATTTAATTCACGGAGAGATGACCAACTATGGATGACCCCACAGCTTTATAACGTATCTGTTAATGTTCTGGGTGCGGGGGGAAGGCCAAAGAATTAAGTTAAGTATTAACGGGGTTTGGATTGATTTGAGGAATTGAAACAAATAGCTATTATACCTTGCTGTGATCTAGTTCTTTGTATTTTTACTGCTAAGACTGACTTCAAGCTTGGAAATAAAGAGGAACTCTGTTTTTGTGTTTTTGAGATCCATTTCCCTTGGGTCATGTCACAGTACTAGACACTTGGTTATATGTAAATTACAATAAACACAGTAGCCAAACTGGTAAGTAAAGTTGGACCATATATTGGTTCATTTGTCTGTTCACCCATCAGTAAGCGTCCACGGTGCACCTACTGTCTCAGATGTTACTCTAAGTCCTAGGGATTTAGAGATGCACTAGAAACAGTCCCTGTCCTCAAGGAGCTTCTCGAATGGTAAGGAGAGGCAGGCGTGTGAACACTATCACTGGGGTGGTGGCAGGCTGTGTACAGAGGACGGGGGAGATGCCAGGCAGGCAGATCTATCTGGGAAGGATCAGGAAAGTCCTCACAGAGAAGGTGACCCTTACATTGGCACTTGAAGAACATGAGGGTCAGATGTCCAAT